GATCGTTATGTATCACTTGTGGGAGTATGTCGCTTAGTCTGGTAGCGTAAATTTTAGCGAAGAGTTTTGTGTCTGTATTGAGTAATGAAATCTGGCGAAAGTTTTGCGGTTGTGTTGGTGGTTTACCGGGTTTAGGAAGCGTGATTATGTGTGCTTTCAGTGCCTCCTGGGGCAGTGCTCGTTTTAAAACTGCCTCATTAAATGCTTTTGTTATGTATGGAGCTAAGATCTGTTGGAATTGTTTATAGTAATCGTTGGCAAAGCCATCTGCGCCTGGGGCCTTTTGGCTATGGCTGTAATCACTTCAGATTCCGTGATGGGGGCCGATAGGGCATCTTGTTGGGTGGAGGCGAGTTTGGGTAGATTCATTTTGTCTAGGAACTTGCTTATGCTGGGTTCCTGTGGTTGGGGTGTGGTGGTTATAGAGCAATTCGTAATATTTAGTGTGACAGACCCATCTGTCTGGATTACAAATGCTTTGTTCGCCTGTTTTGCCGGTTACATGAATTTCCCCATTCGTATGCTTTATTCAAGGGAATGTCGGTTTTTGTCGAACGAAACTACCGAACGGACGGCCACCCAGAAGAGAAGTGTGCTGCTGGTTAACCTATTGATCCCAATTAGAACGTTCCAGTTAACCACAGACACTTCTCAATTAAAACCGAATGCCGGGTGGTCGTCGTTCGTATGTCGACCACGAGGCGGCGGCCATTTTGTCCATGCGAAAGACCAGCGGTGTTAGACGATTATTTCATGGATCTGAAAACGGACCCTTTTTCAGCCGAACACCGCTGAAGCCGTCGACCTCCCCTTCTCAATCGACAAAAGTATACGAATGCCAGCCGTTCGGGAGATTCAACCACACGAATGGACTTAACCCAGATAGCCGTCCCATGGAGTCAATCGCATACCGAAGAACTGAAAGAGACTTTGACTCCATGGCGATTGAACTGTGCGAATGGGATCTGAGTGCTATTCTCCAATAATGTGCACTCAGATCCAGGCTATCTGGGGATATGTAATACGAATGTAATATGTTCGGCAGTTATGAAGTTATAGGTTTTCATGTGTTTTTGTGACTTGTATTTAAAATGGCGATTGCCTCTGCTCTGGGAGATAATTGAGTTACTTCCCAATTATCCCCCGAGCAGAGGGGAGGGAACTGTACTGCATGCTGGGAATATTGTGGGGATGTATGTCCAAAATGTCCCCATGTCCTTCTGTAAATTCAGTCTCCCATTTGGTCCCCTAGGGGAGTGTCCACCAGGTGGGAGACCTGCATAAATACCGGGCAGGTAGCCCACAGTAAATCAGTTCGTGTTTTACCCTCAAAGCGGAGCTTGGTCTCGTTATTGGGGGGATTTGGTTACAAGCGACTAGAGACTACTTATTTGGATTATTTGCCACTTGGGAGATATTGACGTTCGGTTACTATTTGCCGTTCGTGGATTTGCAGCTTGTGAAGGGAATTAGCCGTACAGGTACCGTTCGGGAGTTTGGAGTGTTCCCTGGCTGGCGGTTCGCATGGTTTTATTATACCCGCTACCCGACCACATTATTGCAAACGGGGAATACTCGCTAAACGGAGGTTTGTACATTTTACTACTGGAGGTACTGTAACATTTAGCAAAAACGTTACTAATGTCTTTGGGTGCTACTATTTTATGGCCATCAGGAGATACCATATATGCTATATTTTGGGCTGCTTGTTGTGTCTTGTAACGGACCGTTTTGCACACAAGGGGTAAAAACCGTTTAGGCAATCGGCCCCCTTTCCAGAGATGCAGGCACAGCTACTGCAGAACACCAAACTCCCGAACTGGATACAAAATAGCCCTCCAACTCCCGAACTGGAACCTCCCAAATAGCTGCTAGTAGACGAACAAGAAAAACAGACAATCAGCTTACACTCCTGGCAATCAGTCTCTAACAGCATACAGTGAATCCCCCCAAGAATGAGACAGAGCTCTGTGTTGAGGGTCAAGCAGTGGTCTGTTTAATGAGGGCTACCTGCCCGGCTTTTATGCAGGTCTCCCACCTGGTGGACACTCCCCTAGGGGACCAAATGGGAGACTGTGACAAGGGACAGACAAGTAGACAAATAGGACACACAGTCACAGTATATTCCCACAATGCATCCTGGCTTCCTCCCCTCTGCCCTGGGAGATAATTGAGAAGTAACTCAATTATCTCCCAAGACAAAGGCAAAACTCCATTACACATGTGGGGACACAAAACCAGTATTATACTTTAAAATACATAAAGTAACATTTATTACATAAAACACAGACATGTAACATATCCCCAGATAGCTCAGGTCTGAGCGCACATTATTAAGTGAATGGCGCTCAGACCACACGAATACAGTTTAATCGCCATGGAGCCAAAGTCTTTACAGTCAGTTTCATACGAATGGGCTCCATGGGGTATAACACATTCACACAAAACTACCGAACACCGGGCCATTCGGGCACTTCCACCGAACAAGAAGGGAGGTCGGCGGCTTCAGCGGTGTTCGCGCAAAACTGTGTCCGATTTTAGTTCCATGAAAATAGGGGCGAACACCGCTGTGCATTTGTATGTTTAAAATGGCCACGACCTCGTGTTCGGGATACGAATGGCGGCCACCCAGCATTCGTCAATTAAGCTGCGGTTAACCGCAGCTTCAGGGAGGTTAATTGCCAGCACACTCCAGCTCCCAGGTGGTCTATTCATTCGTGCGGTTGTTCGGTAGATTGAATCTACCGAACAACCGGCAGAAAAGCACGAATACAGCTTTTCTGCAGGCGAAATAAAGTCTTTTAAAAGGGGGCCATAGTCCAGAGGCAGCAGGCGAGCAACCAGGCTTCTCCAATGCAATGTGGCGAGATTGGTCTCGTCACATCTCTCCCCTTTTCCAAACAGACTAACAGGGTATCTGACCTCCTGCCGGTCAGTGCCCTTGTTAGTCCAGCAGCCCACCCACAAAACACAATCAACAGCACAGCCCACCCACAATAAATAGTTACTGCACCTGGGTAGAGGAGAAGCTTGTCCATGTCCAGGTGCCTCACCATGGCTGTGCTGGGTACGGGTACGCTGACTTGGTGGGGTGCTGTGTGGGCAGAGACCAGCGTCACTCTGCCCTGTTGCCAGCGCTACTGGGAGGGTAGCCTGGTTGAAGCCTGGTTGTTGGAGGGGGAGACCGACTGTCTCCCCTTTAGATACACAGTCCTGCTGCTGGAGACCGACTGTCTCCCCTTTGGTTACACAGCTCTGCTGCTGGAGACCGACTGTCTCCCCTTTGGTTACACAGCTCTGCTGCTGGAGGGGGAGACCGACTGTCTCCCCTTTGGATACTCTAAGCTGTCGCTGGGGAGAGGGGGTAACAGGCTCCTCTCCTGATAGAACACTCTGCCGCTGGGGAAAGGAGACTGAGCTCTCTATTCCCTGCCCATTAATGATCCGCTGCTGGGGAGAGGTGGTAGCAAGCTCCTCTCCCATACATACTTTCATCCTCTGTGGAGGGAGACCGACTGTCTCCGCTCCCAATACAGTGTCCTGCAGCTGGGAAAGGGAGACTGGGCTCTCTATTCCCTGCTGGATACTCTGCCGCTGGGGACTAGAGACTGGGCTCCCAATTCCCAACAAATAACACTGCCGCTGTGGAATGGAGACTGGGCTCCCAATTCCCGACACATCACACTGCCGCTGGGGAATGGAGACTGGGCTCCCTATTCCCAGAAAATCACGCTGCCGCTGGGGAGGGAGGACACTGCTCTCCTCTCCCTGGACTTCACACTGCCTTCCCGGCATATCACTCGGCTGCTGGGGGGCAGGAACAACTACCTCTGCCCCCTGTAGCTCAGCCTGTCACTGCGGAGGGAGGACACTGCTCTCCTCTCCCTTTACTTCATACTGCCTTCCCGGCATATCACTCTGCTGCTGGGGGGCAGGAACAACTACCTCTGCCCCCTGTAGCTCAGCCTGTCGCTGGGGAGGGAGGACGCTGCTCTCCTCTCCCTGCACTTCACACTGCCTTCCCGGCATATCACTCTGCTGCTGGGGGGCAGGAACAACTACCTCTGCCCCCTGTAATTCAGCCTGCTGCTGGGGAGGGAGGACGCTGCTCTCCTCTCCCTGCACTTTACACTGCCGCTGGGGAGTGGAGACTGGGCTCCCAATTCCCTGCTGTATCTGCCGCTGGAGTTTCTCCCAACGTGCCAACTGGACTTCTCTCTCTGCCCGTTGTTGCAGCCTCTCGAACACTAGGTTCCTCACGAACCGCACCGATCTCTCCAGTGGGTTGGATCCGAAGAAGCTTAGGTGAAACCACACCATCCGGTCATACTCTCTCATAGAGTAGCTGTACTCCACTGCTGGTTCCATCCTTGTGCTGTCAGGGTCGCTGTACTAAGACATCCGTTGCCCACAAATTGTAAAATCCAAATAAATGGTGTCTCCTGTAGCTGTGCTTCTGGCTGTAGGAATGATCCCGCCGCTTGCCACCAATTGTAACGGACCGTTTTGCACACAAGGGGTAAAAACCATTTAGGCAATCGGCCCCCTTTCCAGAGACGCAGGCACAGCTACTGCAGAACACCAAACTCCCGAACTGGATACAAAATAGCCCTCCAACTCCCGAACTGGAACCTCCCAAATAGCTGCCAGTAGACGAACAGGAAAAGCAGACGAACAGCTTACACTCCTGGCAATCAGTCTCTAACAGCATACAATGAATCCCCCCAAGAATGAGACAGAGCTCTGTGTTGAGGGTCAAGCAGTGGTCTGTTTAATGAGGGCTACCTGCCCGGCTTTTATGCAGGTCTCCCACCTGGTGGACACTCCCCTAGGGGACCAAATGGGAGACTGTGACAAGGGACAGACAAGTAGACAAATAGGACACACATTTATTACATAAAACACAGACATGTAACATATCCCCAGATAGCTCAGGTCTGAGCGCACATTATTAAGCGAATGGCGCTCAGACCACACAAATACAGTTTAATCGCCATGGAGCCAAAGTCTTTACAGTCAGTTTCATACGAATGGGCTCCATGGGATTCCTATCTGGGGTATAACACATTCACACAAAACTACCGAACACCGGGCCGTTCGGGCACTTCCACCGAACAAGAAGGGAGGTCGGCGGCTTCAGCGGTGTTCGCGCAAAACTGTGTCCGATTTTTAGTTCCATGAAAATAGGGGCGAACACCGCTGTGCATTCGTATGTTTAAAA